CACGGCGTCGTCCTCCGAGACGCGGCCGCGCGGCAGCTCCGAGGCCCTCGCCTTGGAGCTCGCCAGCGCGAACGAGGCGATCGCCGTGGCCCACAGGCTGCGCGCCGCGGCCACCACCGCCTCCAAGGCCTCTGCGAGCCGCCTCGCCTCCCGCTCTCTCTGCTCTTGGCGGGGGGTGGGGGGGGGGGGACGCCGCGTGGGCGACGCGCGCTGGCGCCAGTCACCGGCAGGGGGCGGGGTGGCGGCAGGGAGGAGGCCATGACACGGTAGCCGTCGGTGCGCCCGTCTCGGGGAGCAAGTATCGGGTTGGGGGGATGGGCCTGGGAGAAATGAGGATCTCCTTACCCCATAGGCGGCCGAAGGTATCGCTCATTGCATCCGAATGCTATTGCGCATACCCTTCATCCTCCCAACCCCTTCCAACACGATAGTTGATCTCCTCACCGTCTAGCGCGGCCTTCGTTCCGCGAGGGTTCCGAGAACGCGACTGGCCCACAGGGCCAGGCCCCAAGGCGACCGCCCAGTAGGGCACCACGGCGCTACCCCTCGGCTCGTCCACGGAGTAGTGTCCCCAGCGATCCGAGCCTGGTCCGACCGCGGCGGCGATGGGCCCAGCGGCCCAGGGAGGAGGAGAAGGCGGAGGAGGAGGAGGCGGAGGAGGAGGAGGAGGGGGAGGAGGAGAAGGCAAGGAGGACGAGGAGGAAGAGGAGGGGGACGAGGACGAGGAGGACGTGGGGCGCCGACGGGGGGGGGCTCGGCTCAGGGGGGGACAGCCACCCCCAGTCGCCCATTCCTGGTGGACGAGGGCCCAGGGACGGGGACCCCTGTCTGCTCCAGAACGTGCGGTTTCGCAATCGAGGGCCCATCGCCGATGTATCGGCAATGCGTCGCCGATTCCAAGTCAACGTCCCCCCCCTGGACCCAGTCCCTCTCTGCCGCCCCCCCCCGCAGCTGGAGAAGCAGCACGAGGAGGGGAGGTCTAAGCTCTAAGCTCTTCTAGATAAGAAAACCCGCCCGCATAGCCTGTTCTGGGAACCCTGGACCTCAAAGTGTTGACATCTCTTGGGGGCGCATCTTGTATTCTCAAGGCCTTGCGGCTGTTGCCGCCGACCCTGAAGGCGGCCCGCACCCCCACTGGCGCCCCACCACGGGATCCGCCGTGGCCCGAAGCGGGCGGTATTCTGACCTGGGGCCTCATGTCGGGGAAACGCAAGACTCGAGTGCGCCGGAACTCGGGCTCGCCGACGTTTTTTTGACGAGCGCGTCCTGGATTTTGACGGTCCAGTTTTCGGGGCATGCTTGCAGCGGGGGGTCGCGTCAAATTTCAGACCGGGTCTCGTCATTTTCATGATGGCCCCGTCAGGCCAACGCGAGTCCGCCGAACCCGAGTCTTACGTCTCCCCGATTTGATTTCCGCCGGCTCCCGCGGGCGGAGCCGCCCCAGCCTCAGGATACACAGGTACCCTCGGGGCCTGCCTCTGCCGTGTAGAGTCAAGGGAGGAAAAACCACCCGGACCCGATTACTGGCGTTCACTACACAGCCCTGGGCGTTTACTAAACAGCCCTTGCCCTGTTCGATTCCATCTGTGGGTGCTTCGACTAAACGACTTCGCGTGTCGGGGTGATCATTCAGGGGGTGGACTTTCTGCCCTCTATCGAGGGCACCTGCCAAAGCCTTCTGTGGCCCTCACCCCGGAGGCTCACCGTGATTCAGTGCTGACCCTTCCACCGACATTCTAGCATTCCAGCACGCAGCTGCAGCATCAACCACCACGTCCTTGCCCGATTTTACTGCACAGTATTCTCACGTGCCCCGAGCGTGCACGTGCCCCGAGCGTGCACGTTTTCGTCGTCACGGCTGAGTCTTCCTCGGGAGCGGCGCCACGGGGGCGACGTCGGGGAGCGCAGGTGAGAGGAAGGGGTGGATAGCATCCTGCAGCACGCCGTCCTCCTCCGCCTCCCTCGCCTCCTCCTCCTCCCTCTCCTCGCCCGCCGCCGCTGGCACACGGAAGCCGTCGGCACCGCGTGCCGCCGTCGGGGCGCTCTGGCTCAGGCGTCGAGGCCTGGCCCGCCCGCCCTGGCGGCCCTCTGCCTCCGCCCGCCCGCCTCCCCCCCCCTCTCGCAGGCGACGACAGGAGCTGATACCCCAGGGTCCCCAGGGGGCTCCGACCTCGAGCGACAAGCTGGGGGCACCTGAAGCCAGGGGCACCGCGAGCAGCCCCCGGCAGGGGGCGGGCCTCAGACGCATTCGCCTTTGGGAGCCTCGCCGTCGACAGGCGCCCCTGGTGGGTGCAGGCAGGAAGGACACGGACGGGTCTCCCCCTGGGCGGCTCGGCCCCGTCGCCGCCCGCCCCTGGCCCCACTGTCCCGCCCTTCCCCCCCCCCTCCTCGCGGGTCGGAGGTTGATGAACCTCCTACTCTGACGCGTCGATTAGCGAAATGGCCGTTTTCGGTTCGCGAGAGGGCGTCGCGGCCGTCATTGTTGCGGGTGCAGGTCCGTCGGTTTCGGTCCCATGCCGTTTTCATTGAGGGGAGGTCTACCAAAGGGAGGTTTGTCCACCGCCGAGCGGGTTCTAGGCCTCCCAGATGGGGTCGGCGCGGGCGGGGTCGGAGGAGCGCGCCGCATCGCCGATGCATCGCCGATGCTGCTCGATGCGGAGCCCGGTTTGCTTCACGCCGGCCTCGCCGATGCATCGCCAGCGCCGTTGGTGCATCGCCAATGCATCGCGGATGCATCGGCGATGCATTGGCGACGTGGCGCAGTCCTCCAACCCCACCTTTTCCGACCCCGTGTAGGCGGCCTCTACCCCGCTTCGCGTGTCAAGGCAGATTTGTGTCGCGACTTCGGTTTTGAGGGGCCGCTTCAGCGTCCTAGGGCCGACGAACACGGGTCGGGGGATTGGAAAGCCGTCCAGGGGTAGGGGGTCGAGACTTCGGGGACCACGTGGTGAAACGTCACGGCGCCTGCTGTATGGGAGGAGGCTTCCCCTCCCCTCACTCCTTCCCTCCTCCTCTGTCCCCGTCACATTCCACCACACGTCCTCCTTCCCTGCCCACCTTTGCCCCGCCTCCCCTTTTTCCCTCCGCCCACCACCTGTCCTCCTCTTCCTCCTCTTCCTCCTCCTCCTCCTCCACCTTTTCTTTCTTTTCCTCCCTCTCCTCCTCCTCCTTCTCCTCCTCCTCCTCCTCCTCGTCCTCCTCCTCCTGAACTCCCTTTGGCACGCTCCACCTCCACGTCATCTTCCTCCTCCACCCTCCTCCTCCTCCTCCTCCTCCTCCTCCTCCTCCTCCTCCATCCCCTCCGTGTTCAGTGTGCCCTTCCGCCCTACCTCCTCCCTGCCGTTTCCCCTCCTCTCTTCTTACATCTCCATACCCGATCCCGGAGGTCTTGCCCTCTCTCGTCATCCGCCTTCCCTTCTCTTTCCTCCCGTTCCCGCTGTCAACTTCCCTCCCATCGATACTTATCATCTCCTCCTTCCTCCCCTCCAGTGATTGTCCCCGTCCATCTCCCAGCTTAGCACAACGGTGCCAGGACCGCCGCCACCCAGTCAGCCGACCCTCTGGACGGCCCACACGAGAGCACTTCCAAGTTGGGCCGCAACCCCAGCCGAATGCCATCAACAACCGGGCTGGTTCGGGGCGGGTTTGGGCTTCGTTTTGGGCCCCAAATTGGGCCCAGTATTGTGTAAACTTGACCCCGGAGCGCCCAAAAACGTAGCCGAGATCAGCATGCGGATAAGCTACCTAAACGAGCCCGACAATTGCTGTAAGACGCGTCCGCGCGATCCTCGACAAGGATAAATCAATATAAAGTCTATGGTATGTGCTATATGTGTGAAGTCTCGAGCTTGCAAGCAAACCTGGGCCCAAGAGGCGCTCTTGAAGGCCTGCAGCGAATTCTGGAGGCCAAGAAGGGGACCCAAAGGGGTGGAATGGAGCCAAATTGCTCCCCGAGAACGGATTTGGAACGGATTCGAGCTCGTCTTGGACGCTGCCTTGTAGCCGTCCTGGGCCAGAAAAGGGTCGATGCAGCAGCTGGGCGGCGGAATGGCGGAGGATTTTGGGGGGGCTTCACAGAGGGTAGCTGAAGCCCTGTCTGGAGCTCTCGCAGTTAAGTCTCACACGCCCCTCAGCCCGGTTGGCGGACGGTTTCAAAAAATTCATGCCAAGTCCGCCGGTCCCCAGAAGAGGGAAGAAGTCCACGGTTGAGGACTTTTGGGAACATTCTGGGGGCCTCTTGGGGGCCTCTTCGGGCCTCCCAACAGTTTCTTGGGCGCCTGCTGGCGGTCTCGGGGGTCCTCTTGCTGCGGAGGGCTCAGAATGTCAGTTCGAGTTCCCTCTCTAGGGGCCCTGTTGGGGCCCTCTTGGGTCATCTTGGGCGCCTCTTGGGCCGTCTTGGATGATTGTTCGGCCGTCTTGGGGCAATCTTGGGAGCTTCTTGGGCAGTATTGGAGTGGTCTTTGGGACTTTTGGAGTCGTCTGGGGCCCTGTTAAGACCAAGCGTGCATGCGTTTTCTCTGCGGAATGTTGTTTCTTGGCGCCCTCCTGGGGGTCGTCTTGGAACGCCTGTGGGGCGTCTTTGAGGCCTCTTGGGCAGTCTGGAGGCCGTCTTGGCCATCTGTCAGGACCCCTCGGCGTGATGGGGCCCAGCTTGACCCAGCGTAGACTGCATCTGGGCACCTTGGAGGCCGCGGAGCGCAGAATCGGAGGCTCCCGAGGCCTCGGTGGCGCGCTGATGAGCTCCTGGTGCCCACCCGCGCCTGGACCCGCCCCATCTCGAATGCGATGTTGGATTCTTTGGGGAGGGGACAGCCAGATGTCTCACGTGCCTTTCCACCCCTGGCAAGCGCGGGGCGGCGTATGTGTGGAAATCCATGTTCCCTCCTGCTCTCCTCGGTCCTCGACACCCCCCCCCCCCCCTTCCCCCCCCCTCTCTCCCTCTCCTCCCCCTCCCACCCCCTCCCCCCCCCCCCCCCCCCCCCCCCCCCCCCCCCCCCCCCCCCTCCTCCCCCCCATCCCCGCTCCCCTCGGGCGCCGGCGCCCGCCGCCAGCGATGAGCGATGACGCCCCGCCGCCCCCGCTACCGAAGTCCGGGGGTCGGGCAGAGATGCGTGGATCGTCTTCCTCATCTCGGGTCGGGCGAAAGGGGGGGATTGGGAAAAGGGGGGTTACGAAATTTGCTGCATGCAGCTGGTTTCGGCCTCACCGAGGGGCCCGTTCCTCGATACATGGCCGCCTCCGGCGCCGGGAGGCGCCGGGAAAATCAGCTACGTGAGCTGATTCTCAAACCCCCCCTTTGCTATTCCCTTTTCGCCCGACCCGATCAACCTGCTCCTCTTCCGTTTTTTTCGTCGCCGCCACTTCCCCGCCGCCTCCGTGTCCCGCTTCGCCCTGCCTCGCTCATGGCACGCTCCTCCTCCGTCCTTTTCGCTCTTCCTTCCATTTTGACTCAAACCATTTTGGCTCAAGAGTGAGGCTCAAGCCCCAGGCAGTCAGCAAGCATCCCTTTCATTTACTGCATCTGTGCCATGGCATGGGCCAAAAAGCAATGGACTGAAGCGTCTAGCAGAAAACGTGTGTGTTTGGAGAGGCGATGGCAATACAGACCGGACCCGCGACGGGAACGCAGTAAGTTCGCAGAAACGATCGAATAAAAGCTTGACGCGATACCGAATGACCAGTTGGATATCACCCGCCGGCTGGGTGAAATCGAGTCCCACACCTTTGCGCGCAGAAATGCAGGCCAATCAATATTGCCAGAACCCTGTCCCACTGGTCACTGGAACCTATCGTAGCAATGCGAGGGGCAACTAGGTATGTTGAGATACCTATATTTGATAACGCCGAAAAGGTTGTCGAAGTCCTCATGGTTGCATGTGTGGAAAAGATCGCAGAGCATACAGTCATCATGCCAAGCGCTCGTGGTAATGCCAGCAGTTGTGAAATGTGTCGAGTCGGCGCCCCTTGTTGTGAGGCGAGTCACGTATCCAGTGAAGATGGAATGATCAAGGAAGCGGAGGCCACAAGTGTCGGTCTCATCTCGAGTATTCAGACACACGTCGGTTTGTTCATCGATGCGAACGACGAGACATTTTACATAGACCTGGTGCTGGGTACGTTCGGGAGCCAACTTATGGAATGCAAACCAACCTGTCCCAATCCAAGTCGCATGATGTTTTCGAGAGATAAAGCTGAGCAGCGTTATGAGTTCCTGCGTTGATCTTGTCTCTGGCGGAGTGTATGCGACAAATTTCACCATGAGATTGGAGAGCCGCTGAGCAAAACAGACGAGTTTCTGGAATTCATGTACAAAATGCACAAACTATGGCCGAGGTGACGGGTATCGCACAAGCGTTTGTGAGGCAAATGCGCTTTTCCTTTTTTTTATAAAAAAGAGGATGCGTGTTCAATCTCATGGTAAGGATGGTATCCGTGGAGCCAATCGCACACGCTCGAAATCGTAAAGTAACCATGGGCTGCGACACCTGAGTTTCGGCGCTCCAGCGTCCCCGCCGAACACTGAGAGGGCCGCCCCCTCGGGCGTACATCGGCGCTTGTCCTGTCCTGTTACCCTTGTGCCTGCCTCGTCTCTCCTCCCGCCTTCTCCCACGTTTCCCACACGTTTGATTAATAATCCCCTTTCCGACATCTGTCCCTCTTTCGACTATTTCTTGCTATGCCCTTCGAAAGCCCAAGCCGAAAAAAAAACATTCCAATAACAAAAACGTTCCAAGCCAAAGCACCATGGCCCACGAATGGCGTCCTTCAGTTGGTATGTTGCTGTTTCACAAGCCTGGTCGCTGCATGGTCTGCTGCGATTCCAAAAGCCACCGCCAGGATATTTGAACGATTAGCTACTGAATGGTATTTGCGTCTGCGCCCGTCTTCTTCCCCACCCACCCTTTTTGATCCTACTCCTTCCTCCCTGCATCCTTTCTCTTCCGTCTCATATTCCTCCTCTTCTGCCCTCATCCTTCCCCTCCTTTGTCCTACTCCTCGTCCCGTTTCCCCTGGTTTCCCACTCCCGCTTCCCTCCTACCCGCCCGTCATCCGCCCCCTCTTCCGCCTGGTTCCCTCCTGTTTCCTGCAGCTGCTCCTCCCGGGTGCTTGGGCTCCTCGTCAAGCCGCGCCCCGCGGGACGGGGAACGCCGGAGGAGGGGAGAGGGGGGGGGCGGCAATGGGAGGAGGGGGAGGGGAGACGGGGGAGGAGGGGAACGGGAGGGGGAGGAGGGGCAGAGGGGGAAGGGGGGAGGGGAGAGGCAGCAGGGGTTCCGGAGGCTGCGGAGGGTGCGCGCCGAGGGATCTCGCGAGGACTGGGGGCACGGGCGGGCCGCAGCGCCGCCGCGCCCCGGAGGTCCAGGTCAAACAAGATGTCCGCCGCCCGCGGCGGCTGCGTGCCGACCGACTACGTCCCGAGCTTCCTCGGCATGGGCGGCGCGGCGGGGCCTCCAGCGGACGCCCTGCCCCTGCCGGCCGCCCTGCCGGCCGCCCTCCTCCCCTCCTCCTCCCTCCTGCGTCCCTCCTCCCTGCTCCTCCTCCTCCTCCTCCTCCCCTCCTCCTCCTCCTCCTCCTCCTCCTCCTCTCCTCCCTCCTCCCTCTCCTCCTCCTCCTCCTCCTCCTCCTCCTCCTCCTCCTCCTCCTCCTCCTCCTCCTCCTCCTCCTCCTCCTCCTCCCCCTCCTCCTCCCCCTCCCCCCCCACCTGTCCTTCCCACCTGCCTGTTCTGCCCCCCCTGCCAGGGCCCCGCCACGACCGCCCCTGCCGTCGCGGCCGCGACCGCCACAGCCCAGGACGCCGTAACGACTGCGTCTGCCCAGGCCGCTGTAACGACCGTCACGGCCGCGGCCGCGGCGGCCGTGGAAGACAGCGGGTATGCGGGCACGGCCGCGGCCGCGCAGTCGGCCTTCGCGGGGGTGCTGGAGCCCAGGGCAGCCCGAGACAATTGGCCTTCCGCGGGGTTGAGGATCGAGGTGTTGGTTCAGGATCGAGGTTGGGGTCGAGGATTGAGGCCTGGTCTTCCGCGGGGTGTGGGGATGGAGGTTTCGGGATCGATGTTGTCTCGCATGCTTGGCGCCTTTTTGGCGGGTTTCTCGGTCGCCGCGGCTAGGTTCGCCCCTGGATGCGGGAGGGCGCCTCAGGACAGGCCCAGGGGGCGATGTTTTCATGGGAGGTTCCTGTCGGTGGATCCCAGGGGCATTCCTTGTTTTGAGGCCATTTCGCCCGCAGTGGGCGCGGCGATGACCGCGCTGCCCGCTTCGCGGTCCGCGACGGACCCAATCCCCTGGGGTGCCAGGAGTTGGGGAGGGTTTCTTGGGCCTTTTGGCTTGGACCTCCTTTGTTTTGACGGTTAGGTCCCCCACATGGGACGCGAAGATGGCCACGCTTCCTGTCTCGCGGTACGGGCCGCAGAGTTGTCCGGGCCGCCCCACACGTTGCTACCGTCGTTTTCCTCTTGGATCACATGGTTGGTGACGCCAGCTCGGCGATGTCATTCGTGCTCTGTTGAGTGCCCCCGTCTTGTGGCCTCCGCTTCCCTCCCCCTCCATGAACGGAGGTCGGCACCAGCGGGCTCGCGAAGCGCGAAGCGGGCACGCAGAAGACCTGGGGACCGTATGGAGTGGTGAGGCACGCGCTTCCTGGGGCGCGCAAGGAGCGAGGAGGGGGGGAGCAGGAGGCCGCTCTCAGGAGGAAGGGGGAGGGGATGAGGGTAGGAGGAAGACAGTTCCGTCCTCCTGCCTGCTCTCGGGTTGGACCCCTCGCCGCCGCCCGTCCAGCCGCGCCTGCCCTGGCCGGAGGGAGCTCGGGTCTTGTACTGTGCCCCGCCAGATTGGACCAAGTCGGACGGGGCTAGGACGAGGATGAATCCGTTCCAGAGCGTTCCGGAACGCCCTCAGAGCGCGCTCGGAACGCCCCGAGAAGCCTCCAGAGCCGCGGGATCTCAGAGATTCTCGTTTCTACCCCCACCCGATGCTGTCCTCGCCCTGGCCTCCTCTCACCGAGGCTCGCCCTGGCGGGTCGGCGGCGGAGGCCGCCTCTCTTGGCTCCGCCGGCGGTCTTCTCGCCGCCTCGAGGAGCAGGCGAGGGGGGCGGCGAGGGGGGCGGCGACCAGCGGCCTCGACCTCCTGCTGCACAAGGCGCTGCAGAAGGTCGGCTCGCGCTGCCTCTTCGGGGGGCCTCGCCCGTCGCCCGGCACACTGCTGGCTCTTCCTTTCCTCTCGTGCCCGCCGCGGGCTCGTGGCGGGCGCGGCGCGGACGTGGCGTGGATGCGGCGCGGATTCGGCGCGGAGTCGGCACGGAGTCGGCACGGATCCGGCGAGGCGGGCACGGATTCGGCAGGGATTCGACGCGGCTGGGGCCGCGGCAGGACGGCCAGAGTCCCCCGAGGATGCAGCACAGCAGGTCGGGGATCGGGTGCGGGAGGCGGCCGTGGCCGACCCAGACATGCCGAGCGTCGTGAAGAGGGCGACGGGCAGGGTCGTCGATGAGGTCTGGGAGGACGCGGCGGCCCGCGGAAGTCGGGCCGGACGAACGGGGGGCATTGGGAAAGGGGGGGGTACGAAATCTGCCGCATGCAGCTGGTTTCGACCCCGCCGCCGGGCCCATTCCTCGATACATGGGGCGCCTCCCGGCGCCGGGAGGCGCCATGAAAATCAGCTACGTGAGCTGATTCTCTACCCCCCCGTTTGCTATCCCCCCCTTTCGCCCGGCCCGCGAAAGGGGGGCGCCTGCTCTTAGGCGGCAGGGGCGCCCAAGCGAGCCCAAGACAGGGCGGAGGGCGAGCGGAGCGAGGTGCTGAGGGCAAGCATCGGAGGGGGGGGGGGGCAGTCGAGGGAACGGCGGCGCTGCCTGGCGCTGTTCGCCCTTCTCGGGGCCTCCTGTGGGCTGCTCGTCGCCACGGCTGGATCCGCGTCGAAGAACGGGTGAAGGTGGACCGATTGTGTAATTTCGGGGGCGGAAAAGAGGGGGGGGATGACTAGGGGGAGTGGATATCATGGCGTGGGCCATGATAGTTTCCCAGATTTCATGGCGCCTCTTCTTGTTTCATTACGTCCCTGGCCCCCCCGCTGGGCCGCGCACATGCCGCCGGTCATGATTTGCACCCCCCCCTTCTCGGACACCCCCCTCTTGGCCGCTCCCGATAATTCAGCGGATGTGGACTGGGCGGGAGATCCGCTGATGTCTCGAGTGGCCCTCCGCCGACACGAAGCGACAGGGCAAGCTCAGCGTGTGGGCAAGCCCCCTCCTCCTATTCCTCCTCCTCCTCCTCCTCCTCCTCCTTCTCCTCCTCCTCCTCCTCCTCCTCCTCCTCCTCCTCCTCGTAAAGGCAACTGGACAGTCTCTCGCGAGAAAGGCTGGATCCATAATTGTTGGAGTCGAGCTGCATGTTGGCTCCAGGCGAGCTGGGTGGCAACTCGAAGCACGATAGATTCGCGCCCGCCGAAATTAGCATCAGGCAGTCTAGGTGAATATCCAAATCATCTCAATCGCAACTCCATGAACGAATGTAGGCATAATGAAGTCAAGCTGAAGTCATTACGACGACAAATCAAACACCCACTGCAAAATCAAGTTCAAGGCAGGCGATGGACAGTTTGAAATCAAGCTAAAGGTAATTACGCTAACGACACTCCTGATGCAGGGTGAGGGCAACTTTCAACGGTCAAAATGCCAGTCTGACACTCATGATGCAGGCTGAGGGCAACTTTCGACTTTCAAGATGCCAGAGGCAGTCAAAAAGGCAAGCAACAAGACATCGTCGGGTCCCTGCACCTTGCCCGGGAGACCGAAATGCGAGTCCTGGTAGGTACCCTCTCGAGGAGCGAGCGGGCTCCCAGAGGGACCAGCGGGGCGAGTCACGATTGACAGACCTCTTGTGGTGGAAATATACAGGTCCAGAAGGCTTTCTGACGTTTCGTCCCTGCCACGCGAGAAGCCGAGGATGAGCCCATGCTTTCTCGGTCACTTTGCCCTGGGCGACTTTGCTTCTGGCCATAAGGACGTCGTGGCGTACGTGGTAACAACAGCGGACGAGACCGTCCAGTCACAGAGGGGCCTGGCCGAGACAGAATGGAGCAAGCTCAGCGACATTGGGGAGCGGAACAAGAGGGCACCCTGCCCACCCCGTTGGCGGAAATGAGGAGTGATTCGGGAGGGGAGGAGGAGGAGGTCAGCTTCTCGAGATTGGTTGGGACTCTCCCTCCCATATTCACCCCTTTTCACCACTCACCCCGCCTCAACGTCCCTTTGCTCCACTTGTCTCTTGTTTATCCCTTTTCCACACTCTGCCGAATCCCAATTCCCCAGGCCCTCCTCCCTTACGTTTATGACGAGCATCGAACATCAATTGTCGAGTTCTTGATCGGAGCTGGGCCCCCCTGGCGCGCAGAGCGCGCCAAGGAAGTGGGCCCAGCGCCGATCCAAGAACGTTGCGCGGAGCTCCGAAATGTTATGTTTGCGCGACTTGTTGTGTCAGGGGGGTGGGGGGCTGTGCTCCTCTTTTTCCCTGCCCCCCGCGCATCGGCAAGCCCCTCTGGGTGTGCAGCCCGCGCTGGTGGCGGGGGCAGCTACTCTACGCCTACCTGCCCTTCGACCGGAGCATATGGGGCCAGCGCGGGCCTTAGCAGCGGAGCTGGGCGCGAGGGAAAGGAGGGGCAACGTCAGGGTGAAGTATGTCGCGCGCCGTACCCGCACGCGGGACGCGACGTCCTGGGGCGCTCGATCGGATTTTCGCCTTCACTTTGGCTCGGGGGGGGGGGGAGTTTTCGGAAGTTGTCGTCGCTTCTCGGCGGTTTTCCGGCCTCGGGATGCCCTCCAGCAGCTGCCGCCTCGCCTCAGACTCGTCCAGGGGCGCCCAGGGCGTCCCCGAAGGGCCGCTGGAGGCCCGAGCTGTGGCCCGAAGGCTGGGCGAGGAGGACCACCCGAGGAGGACGGGCTCAGGGGATTCAGGCCTCGCGCAACGGGGGGGGGGGGGGCGATCAATGGGGGGGCGATCCGAGGGCTCCAGAAGAAAGGGGCCCCGTGGGGCCCCGGAAGGGGCCTCTACAGGGCCCCCCAAGGAGGCCTCCTGGGCCGGAGAGGTGCGCCTTGCTCCCCCCTCCTCCTCTCCTCTCCTCCTCCTCCCTCCTCCTCCTCCTCCTCCCTCCTCCTCCTCCTCCTCCTCCTCCTCCTCCTCCTCCTCCTCCTCCTCCTCCTCCTCCTCCTCCCACCCCCACTCCATCGTCCCCCCACGAGGCGCTGCCCGGCCGAAGACCGGGCGGCGAGGACCGCTGGAGGAGGACAGGCTCAGGGGACGGGGAGGGCGGGTGTGTGTGTGTGTGTGTGTGTGTGTGCTCCAGGCCTTGCCACGGGCGCGCGGCGGGGGGCCTCGCCCCCTGCGGGCTCGGGCGGGGGGGGGGAGGGGCGGGGGAGGGGGGAGGTCATTGAGACGCCGTGTGGGGCCCGATCTGGCTGGCTGGAGGCCCGAAGGGCGTGGTCGACGGCCATCAGGAGCCTATCGCCGATCTATCGGCGATTTCTCGCCGACGCCGGCTCGATGTTTCCCCTCCCCCTGAGCTGGTCCGCCTCTAACGTTGCCCCGCCACCTTGGGGGCCTGCTGAGACCGCCTGTCAAGCCTGCTGAGACCGCCTGTCAAGCCTGTCGATCGTGTTGTTCGCATGTACGGGCGGATCTAGCCAGCCAGACAGGATCTTGAGCAGGTCGCGGGGATCAGGGGGGGGGGCTGCTGAGGATGAGGAATCCCCTTTTCTGGCTGATGACCGCGCTGAGCCTGTATCCCTACTGGGGTGTCCGTGCGGTCTATTTTGCCTCACTGCTGGTATTGATCCAGGCCGGCATGCCAGCCGATACGTACCAGCTTTGTGCTTTCATCATCGCTCTGAAGGGCTCGCAGTTTATCTCCAGCGGCGTAGTGATGGGCTTGCTGACTGCGTTCAAGTACTACCTGTGCGTCTATCCTGGCTCCCGCCACGCTTCCTCCCTCACTCCTCCTTATCCCTCTCCATTCGTTTTTCCTAGATGGGAACGAATGTGTACAACGGCAGTTAACCTTCGGGGACGGCTGGACGCAGCTCGGTTTTTGTTGCATTTGGACCCCGGGGTGGGTATGGAGGCCCATTTCGAATTGCCGTTGTCTCAGTTTGTCTTCTTTGTCTATTATTCCTCGTTTTCGTCGACTTAGTACGTTTTATTAGTATCGTTATTGATCGTCTTAATATTCTGCTGCTTCCTTATATCAGTATCAATATTGTTCTCTCTTCCAGAGGCAGATCGTTGTCCGCACCGACTTTTGGGATGCTGGTTTTTGCAGCGCTCTTGCTTGCGAGGCCGCGCTTCGCTCCACGTCACGCTTCGACACATATCCGCAGGCCCAGAAGCGTGATGACCTGCTCGGCGTCTTTCCTCCCCCGGTGGCTTGCTATGCTGTGCCCGCTGCCCTCCTCTCTCTCTCTCGACCGAGAACTTCCACTCTCGGCCCTCCTCGGGTGGCCTGCAGACCTGTGACCTGTACGGGCCCGGCGCGAACCAGTCGTCGCTCCACAGCTCGATCGACATCCTGGGCAGCTGCGCCGTTCTCTGGACCGCCTTCTGGCTCCTGCCCTACAGCTACAAGTGCCCCATCCCGCCCTCTCCCACTTAAGCCCCCCGTACCTCTCAGGATGGAGCTCTCGGGGAGGTCTAACTCAGCATCGGCGCTTGCAATTACATCCGTGGTCGAAGCGGCCGAATCGGGCATGGTCCCGCTCAGTCAGGCTCAATCCTGTTTTATCTCGCCTGCTCAGTCCCGGACTTCTTCTTGTGCTTGATCTGGGCTGCTCCGGCCTGGCGGCCATAGGCCATAGACTCCTGTCTTCGTTATGGCGAAGGCCTCTCAGGAGGTGCCTTCTGATGCTCCCTCCTCTACGTTGCACCTTTGGGGGGCCTCGGCTGTCCTCCAAGAAGTTGGTGTCTTCTCTTCTGCCCGACGCGGGTTCGATGCGAGCTCGACGTGGGCTCGGTGTGGATCCGATTTGCATTTGACGCGGATCCGACGGCCTGACTTCGACGCGGACTGCGACGCGACGGGACGGGACAGGCAGACTCCCCCGAAGATGCAGCATCACCCCTTGCTCCTGCGTCTCCAGGCTTGGCCACCCACTGGGGTGGCGAAGACGTCGTCGCTTCGCGGTCTGGGCCAGAAGCCTGCCCCTCTCTAGGGGAGCGGTGGGTGCGCGAGCAACGGGATGAGCGCGCCCCACGTTTTCGCTCGGCGCCCGGCGCGAGGCTGGGTGACCTGGTCGCCCCCCCCCCTCCTCCTGCCAAAGCAGCGCCGCTCCTCGTTTGGCAGCAGCGGAGTAGACTCCGAGCCTCCATAGATCGTCCCTGGAGTGCCGATAGGGGGCCTGGCAGCCCACCCCGCCCAGGAGGGTGAGGCTGCGCTGTCGGGGACCCATCGCCGATTGATCGCCGAGTCCAGGTCGACGTCCCCCCGCTGAGCCGATAGGTCGCCGATTGGTCGCCGATTCCAGGTCGACGTCCCACCTTCCGCTGCCCCTCACCCTGCCCCAAGAAGCCGCCTGAACGCTCCCGAACCGCTCCACACCGCCCAGAGCCGCCTGGCGACCTCGATCCCGGAGTCTGGATCGCCGTCGACGAAGGCGGTTCCAGCAGCCTGCCGCGCAGGTACGACGGCACGCCCCCGCCCGACTTCTTCTTGCCGCCGGGGGACGAGGAGAAGCCAGAGCCTGCGGTGGGGGGCGCTGGATAAGGAGGGCAGGGTCGAGGTTCGAGGATCGAGAGGTTCCTGGGTTCTCTGCCCATTTGAGCCTCCGTGGGGCCTTGCGCCGGCACGGCCAGGCTCGCCTCGAACTTCTTACCCAAACGCTCGTGCTGGGTACGGGGAGGATGCTTGCTTTGACGAAGGGGGTCCTGTTGGGACCCTGGGCAGTTCCTTGCTCCACACCCTTCTGTGGTGCTCATCCTTTGGGATGAGCAGTGCGCCGCGTCCGTCGTCGTTGTCCTGCTCCTCGGCCCCCTCCACTCATTTTTCTCGGCGGCACAATCATCGTTATAATCATGAGTCTCACCATCGCCATCATGATCAGTATGATGATGGCCACCATCACAATCGCAATCGCTATCACCATCACCATCATCAACATCATCATCATCATCATCATCATCATCATCATCATCATCATCATCACCAACAGCATCAGCATCATCACCATCATCATCATCATCATCAACAACAGCATCACCATCTCATCCTCATCACCATCACCATCATTATCATCATTGCCATCATCATCAGCATCGTCGTCGTCATCGTCGTCGTCGCCATCGTCGTCATCATCAGCATCAGCAGCATCAGCATCATCAGCATCAGCATCAGCATACGCATCAACAAGATCAGCATCATCATCAACATCGCCATCACTAGTAGCATCAGCATCATTATCGCCACCATTCGCATTATCATCATCATCATCACCATCATCATCAGTCTGATTTTACCTGTCATCATAGTAACCGTCAGCATCATCGTTTTCATCATCATCATCATCATCATCATCATCATCATCGTCGTCATCATCAGCATCGTCGACGTCACCACCATTTCTACCACCATCACCACCACCATCGCCATCATCATCATCATCTTCTTCATCATCATCATCAACATCTTCATCGTCATCATCATCGTCATCATCATCATTATCATCATCATCATCATCATCATCATCATCATCATCATCATCATCATCATCATCATCAGTAGTATTATCGTCATCATCATCGTCACCACCATCACCATCATCTCCACCATCACTGTCACCAGTTATTGCCATCAGCATGATCATCACGGTTACCATCGCCATCGTAGTTATCATCCTCGTCATCATCATCATCACCATTCCTTTTTCAGCATCTTCATCACATCATCACATCATCCTTATCGTCATCGCCATCGTCATCATCGTGTTCATCGTCACCATCCTCATGTTTATCATCCCCGTTTGGCACACCACTCACGCCATGTAGGGAGCTCCGCTGGATGCCCCAAGGGCAGGGTCCGCATGCGTCCCGGCCACCCATTTCGGCATTCACCTTACACGCTTCGTGGACCCATCGGGGCTGCACCGAAGGCCCCAGCGGCAGAGTCCGCATGCGCCCCCGCCACCCATGTCGGCACACCCGTTACAGGTTCCGTGGCCCCGCAGGGAGCTTCGGCAGGGTCCACATTCTGTATCGTGTCCACCGTACGGAGCTTCATTGAATGTCCTAGTGGTAGGGTCTGCATGCGTTCCAGCCACACGTGTCGTCACACATCTCACAATTCTTCGTGGCCCCATGGGGAGCTCGACCTACGTTCCCGGTGGCAGGGTTCGCACGGTCCCCACCACCCATTTGGCCACACCTGTTTCACGTTGTGTGGCCCTCGGTTCCTCACATGCTCCGTGGCAGGGTCCGCATGCGCCCCAGCGGCAGGGTCCGCATGCGCCCCCGCCACAAAGTTCGGCACGCTAGTTGTTCGTGTTCCGCCACAGGTTTCGTCTCCCCAAGAGGGGTTCCCACCGAAGACCCCATTGCAGGATTCGCATGCGTCCCCGCAGAACACCCCTCACACGCTTCCTGGTCCCGTAGGGAGCCCCACCGAAGGCTCCATTGGCTGGGTCCGCATGCGTTCCCGTCCCCATAACGGTATGCCCTTTGCGCGTTTTTCGCCACACTAGGAATATCCATAGAAGGCCCTTGTGTCAGCGCCCGCATGCGTGCCAACGATCAATTTAGCATACACCCGCTACACGTGGCGTGGCCTTTAGGGAGCTCCACCAAAGGCCGCAGTGGCAGTGGCCGCATGCCACCGTGCCTACATCTGCACACCTCTCACACGTTTCGTGGCCCAGTGCGGAGTTCACGGAGCTCCACCGCAGGCCCCGGTGGCAGCGCCCGCATGGCTCCAGGTGCATACATGTTGTGGCGCGCTGCCTATCATGAGAGGGTCATCTGCTACGCCACTCGCAGTTTGCTCGGCCCTCGCCTTCTCTACTCGCGGCGGCATGCGGCTGTGTCCGTCGCCAGGATGCCTCTTGAGGCCAGGCCGCCCTCGGGCTGCGCAAATACGATCGCGGCCTGCGCCGGCGAGCATTCCTCTCGGGTGGCCCCTCGATGGCGCGACTGCGCTCGAGTTTCGCGCGGCGCGAGGCACGACGGCGGGGTGCCCGTTCTGGGAGGGCGAGGCCCCGTGGCATCACTGTTTCGAGGTCGTGGGGCGCCAGGCCGCGGGCCCGAATGCCAGCGGCGCACACCGCGAGCCACCGCGGCATCCCTGTCGTCGGTAGCGCCCAGTTGGCCAAACGTCGGGCCAACATTTGGCCATGCTGCTGGGCGATGTGTTTACCCAGCAGTTGCGGAAACCCTTCGGGGAACGGGGAGGAAGAGAGGAGGAGGATGAGGAGGAGGAGGAGGAGGAGGTTTTTTCAAGCCATTGTGAAGCAGCTCAGCAGCCAGATGCGAAGCGGATCAAGCGATACAGCTTACAGCGCTGCGCATCTACGTGTTGTCCTTCAGCTGGTTATCTTGTCAAGCTATGTGTCGGAGCTTAGACGCGACTCGTGCGATAAACTGGCTAGGCGGCTGGTTAAGCGTGCTGCTCACACATGCAGGCAGCGAGCGGCGCCGACAGGCGCGGGTAGAACGGTGCAGGCAAGCGCCAGCAGGAGAGGTGGCATCAGAGAGGAAGCAGTGGAGACCGGTGGGCGAATCGGCCGAGTGGCGGAAGGAGGGCGAGACCACGCAGAGGGGTGCAGAGCGGTGTCACCGCGGGGCAGGAGCAGCACAGGGTTCCCAGCTCAGAGAGACGATTTCCTCGCGCTCTCTCGGGCTGCGGCCTGCCGCAGAGGAGGAGGAGGAGGAGGAGGAGGAGGAGGAGGAGGAGGAGGAGGAGGAGGAGGAGGAGCCTCACTCTCAGCCTTGCTGAGAGCCTTGGGCGTGAGTCCACGGCTGATTCGGTCAAGGTACGCCTTCCCCGTCTTGGTCGGGGGCTTGCTCTCTTCGGCGAGGCCTCTCAACTGAAGCTGGCCAGTACACCCGCAGGATCTTCAGAACCAGACAGACGGAGGCTCGTGAAACGTCATGGAGGTGAGATGTGTGAACCCATCCCCCAGCGAGGTGTAAACGCCGCCCCTCAGAAACCCGAGCCACATGGCTGGTGCACCTTTCAAGCCGAAAGCACTCAGATTTTGAAAACTCCCCCTGTGCCGCCGCAGTCGTGGACCCCTGGCAGGCCAAACACCGCTTCCCACACTCGCTTCTGGAGCAGGGGGAGTTCAATAAGGGCCACCGCGACGGAGACAGGAGGGGGGCGGCGAGTTGCACTAGCAGGAGCAGCAGGGGACCGTTGTTTCAAACGTGCGCCCGGCGAAGCGAGTCCCGCTCCTGAGGCCCTGGATGATGGACTTGGTGGCTTGGGACGGGCTCGAGGTGGCGTCGAACTGGGCCAATGGGCGATGCCCTGCGCATACTTGTAATTCTAGAAAGAGGGTCCTCGCTGGGAAACCGTACTTGCCGCGGACGAGGATGCGCCACTCGATCATGACGTAGAAACTCCTGACGTCGCACGAAGCGCGCCTGCTGGCCATCTTGGGTCGGCAGTATAGCTCTTCGTTTGCAGAACGCATGAACGCCTCCTTGAGAGTTGAGTTGCCCTCAGTGGCCGCGTCCCACGTGGGACGCGAGTCTGCGCCCCATCCTTTCAAAACTGGCTCGCGAACGGGCGACCACGCGCGACACATGAGACAAACTAAACCGATGATGTTGCCGCCCGGGCTCTGCTAAGGGAGCAGGCGACCGAGAGCGGACATCAGTTGTGAAGGCCAGCTGATGCATTCTTCGAACATCATGAGATGTTTGGCTATTTAAGAGAGCTGCGTCGGGAGGCCTATCCAGGTCGAGAGGTGGCGCTCGGTCGAGTCCCTGTCCAGCTCGGGGGTTCATGGCGCGCAGGGCCCTGCGGATGTCGCCTGTCGAGATGATGGGCAGATCCTCGTGGTCTGTTGGTCGCCGAACTTCGTCAACGTTCTCATCGATGCGCTGCCTGTCGACCTGATGATTGGATGACCAGAGCTTGTGCCAGTGACGAGCCTTCTCGTCAATGACGCCCCTCGGGTGGAACAGAGCGCCCTCCGTCGTGTCGCCCTCCGTCGTGTCGAGCTCGACCGCGGGGAGGTGGCTCTCCTCGGTGGCCTTGGTGATGGCACCCGTACCGTCATGATCTGAACTCAGTGTCTTGAAATCCGAGAGGGGTGAAGCCAGCGTTCGGGACTGCGAGCGGCCCGTGATCTTGAGAAGCTCAGCGTCGAACACCTCGAGCCTCTCACCTCGGAAACACCCAGGTCTGTGAACAGCTCCTGCCGTGTAGACCACGTCGTGGCCTCGGGGGCTTTGCTCGTACTCGCTGCAACTCCTGCTGGGGCCTGGCCGCTGTGCCGGGCGAGCTTGGAAGCGACGGCGCGTGCTCGGGACCGCCAGCTGGCCACCGCGTCGATGTATGACATGTCTCGAAGGTGATCTGGCTGCTGCGCCTTTCTGACGACCAAACGAGGGCCTGTTGTCCTGGTTGCGCGAGAACCATCTGGAACGACTTGTTGATGCTGCTGAAAGGTATGCTCCACCGCTGAGGTCCACGCCCCGAAATCGCCGCTCACTGGCAAGACGTAGAGTCTTCCCACATGGAAATCTGCCGAAGTTCGCGCTGGTGACCGAACGTCAGAGAGTGTTGGGGGCTAGGGGCCGACCTGATCTTTGGCCAAGTGCCACGGAGCTGCGGGAATAGCGAAAGAGGGGAGGGCAGCATCAGTCAGCATCATCATTGGAGCTCGGAGAGGGCACAGGGTCCGTGGGCGTCTTGCTGGGGGGGGAGGGGCGTCAATTAATTTGATGAGGGCTCTGACCTCGTCTGGGCAGGGTCAACCACAGGACTCGCACTCGGCGTTCCCCCCGACTGAGAGACTGAGCCGTCGGACTGCGAACGGGGTCAGAGGGGAAAAGAGGAGGAGGAGGAGGAGGAAGGACGATACTCGACAAAACTAGAAAGGTCGGGCCATGGGTCGACCTCCTCGCCCCAGAAGCCGATGCGGCACCCTTCGAACATCTCAGGGCCCTGAAGCTGCCGCTCATCACTCTGCTGCGCTTGCGAAGGCGCGGATGTATAAAGGGGGGGCCGGGGCCCTTGGCAGCCGTCTGCAACGAATCGCCATGCAGCTTCTGAGCAAAGGCGGCATGCCGCTCTCGAGCTTGCGCCTGGCGGTCGGCCAAGGCCGCGCGGGCGCGAGAGGCCCTGGAGCCAGGCTGGCCCCCCTTCCTTCGGCCTCTGGACTTGCGGGGGGCGTTCAGGGAGGGGGAGGGCGCGAGTGAGCAGCTTGGCTCCCTGCCCCCTGAGCTGCAAGACAAGGGCGGCGCGGGGCTTTCAGGGAATGTCCTGCACCACCTGGAGCCCGAGAACGTGCGGGGGGCGGCCTGAGATGCGATGGCGTAGTCGGTTGAAGGGGAATTGCTCCAATCTGCACAGGCGAACTCCGCGGGGGGCCTGAGCATGGAGCCTCCAACTCTACGTAGGAACAAAGACGCTGAGCACAATGTCCCAGGGGGAAGTGTCAAAGCCCCCAGGGGCGATCCAGGGGGGATGGAGGACCTGAAGAAGGGCCCCCAGGCGGGCGAAACAACGAAGGTTGTCGCCTCCGGAGCCTAGGGAGCAGAAGCCATCAAAAGTGGTCAGCATCAGGCTAAAACCCTGGAGCTGCAGAATGACTGGGAGGAAACCATCGTAGTCAGGGGATCCGCCAGCACACAGGGAGGAGACCTGCTGCTGCTACCTAGAAAGATGATGGACCTGTCTGTGCCCTTCGCACAAGAAAGTATCTCCAGCTTCGTTGGCTCTAGACGCTCTTGAGGTTGAGATGCAATGCCTGCTGATTCACGAGCACAGCTCAGGAACTCCTTGATCTCACAACTGCGAACGTTCTTTTCCCACTCGAGGCCGGTATTCGAAACATGAGCGAGATTCGCAAAGCGAGAAATGTTGGAATGTCCCGCTCTGTCTGGTGTGCTGGGGATACTTCCAACGCGTGTGGCCGAGAGTAGTGCTACTGCTGAAGGAAACTCGCACGATCGGAATTCCCCCGACCGAGGGTTGGTCGCAAGAGGGGAGGGAGGTCGACTGGCGCTGCTCCGTCGCCGTGGCGTCGCGTGCCTCACGGCTGCAAGGCTCTGTAGACGCCGAAAGAGACGGATGACGGAGAAGGAGTGGACGCCGAGGATGTGGAAGGGGAGCCTGGGGGCTCCGAACTTGCTGCCGATGAGAGCGGCTCTGGAGCCCAGTGGTTGCTGGCCTTCTGCTCGCGCTTGGCCTCGTCGCCGCCCCTGGCCTCGGGCTTGCGAGGCTGAACCTGACGATTGCATCCACTGCGTCGGCAGTCCTGCCGCACCCTCACGTCGTTCCATTCGCGCTCGTGGCATGACTTGCACCGGCTCCGGGCTCCAGAGCCGCTGGAGCCTGCGGATCTGGCTGCAACGGGAAACGCTGCCCAGACTCGCCGCGAGGAGCGCCCTTGCTACTGTTGCAAAGGTGGCCTCGTGCCCCCAACGAGCACCCAGGTGGAGGTCCTGGGCTCTCGGACGGTCGCAAAATCGCTCGTGCCGAGATTGCTTGAGAGGAGGGAGGGAGGGAGGGAGGGAGGGAGAAGGGGGGTGGTTGGAGGGGAAGAGGAACTGGCGGACACGTGGCGACGAGGCGAAGGGGGCGGAGCTCTCGGGGGGCTCTCGGGGGGCTCCCTAGGGGGCCTCCTGGCGAGCTCCTGAGGGGGCCTCTGAGGTCGGGCGCGGCCGCACCGACCCCCTCCCTGGCGAGCCCCTTGCGTGACGACCCGGCCGCCTGCCAACGTCCTGGAGCGAGGCGAGGGGCGCGTGGCACGGGCAGGGCCGGTCTGCCAGGAGTGTCGGGGGGCCGCTGGGGGGCCGCGGGCCTCCCGGGGAGCCCTTTGGGGACGTCGTGGCTGCCCTCGGCCGGATCGGGGCCAGATCGGAGGCGTGGTCGAACCGTCTTGGAGGCCATCTCGGTCGCCCTGGAGACGAGGCTTCGGGGCATGAGAACCAGGGGAGGGAAAGGAACCCATACCGCTACCCTTCCCTCGTTTTGCCCTTTTTGGGCCTCCTGGAAGGCCCTCGTCGCCACCGCTGGATTCGCCTCGAAGTCCAGGTCAGAACGCACCCCAGGAGAGGTCCGGGGAGTAGCAGTGTCGGTACCTTTTTGATATCCCCAGAGAATCATTCCGGGTCTCTTGCGGTGTTCGCCGAAGGCCACGGGGACCTTTCCTGCAGTGCCAAAAAGAGCTCAGAGGTCTAGTGCGCCAAGCACCTCTTCGCTGGCAAAAGGGGGCGGCGGATATAGTGGCCTTTTGGCCCATCCCTCTAACGTGCCTGGGTGGTGGACACGGGGGTTCTCAGAGGCTCCCTCCCTTGGGTTCGGGAAGGCCTCTCGGAGGCTGCGTTGAGCTCCTGGGGGTCCTCTTTGGGGCCTCGGGGTGCAGGGTAGCAAGAACCTCTTCGAGTACGCCCATTTGGGCCGCTATAAAGGACCTCTTCGGGCCGATTGGGCCCCTCTGGGGTTGTCTTGGGGCTCTCTTTAGGACCTATTGGGTCGTCTTGGACGCTCGTCGGCCCGAAAAGGCGACAATGCATACATCATGCGAAATCTCGAACAATTGAACCTTTGGCCTCGTAGGACGACCCAGTCCCAAGAAGCGCCCAAGAGAGCCTCAGGACGATCATTTGCGGAAATCTAAAGTCTGGCCCACAGCCACGCTTGAAAATCCAGGGGAGAAGTCATTTGGCAAGACAGATATCGCCAAGGAGTTTCTGGAATCTGGGTCCTGGGCCTACTACAGAGTATGTGCGAGCATCAATGCAGAGAGTTCGAACGGACGTGAGTTCACTCCACTCAGTGCCAACGGCAAGGTGGCGCGTATTCCAGGGCCCGAAGAGGGAGCCCCTGAAATAACACATGGCTTCCGTCCACTATACCCTTTTCGACCCTCCGAGGTAGCTTCTCTGGGTGGTGCCACGCCTGGCTACAAGTCCGTATTCGGGAGGCGGGTGAGGTACGACTCGGAGCGAGGAGGTCGATTGAGCGACCTGATGAAATACGACGTGATCGTGTTCGCAATTAGTTTGGTGGCGATGGTATGTCTGCTGTGTTACGACTACTACCGCTGGGTAAAATTACACGGCACACAGCTGTCGCAGGAGGAACGACAGGCCCTCGGGCTCCCTGACGGGGATGATGGGCAGGCCAGTTCACAGCGTTCGATACGCGTCTCATTGTATTTCGCCCGCATGATATACGCCCTCCTATGCGCCCCCTTCACAGTATTCCTGCTGCCCGGGCTGGTCTACGTGCTGCTCCATGTCAACCCGACGGGCTACAACAGGCAGGGCGCTTGCGTGCCCGTCACCATGCCGCCCGTGCCGGAGGATCGAAGAAGAAACAACGGCATAATCTCAATCTTTCGGAACTCCGCGCGAAGATCTGGGATCGTCGCTGGGCCCCCCTGGTGGCGCCTACGGCGCCCAGCGTCGACGAGCTCCGCGCTGACATCCCAAAGTCTAAGTTTATGCCGCTTCTTACCCCTCTCGGAGGAGGCCGACGCGGGCGTCGCGGCGGCCCCGCAGGAGGTGGACGCTGCCGGCACGCCGCAAGCGAGCGCTGCATTGTCCAGCTCCGCCGCGGCTGCGGCGGCGGCCCTCGCGCCAGGGACACAGCTCCTGTCCGGAGCCGGGGGGGGGGGGGGGCAAAAGGCTCGGGCGTCCAGTAGTGGATATGATGCGAACAGCGGGAGGGGAGGAAAGTGAGCCCTGATGGGGCCCAAAGAGGGGCACGGCAGGTGCACGTTTCTCCCCCCCATTCATCGCCCCCCAATTGATTCACGCCCGAGGGGCACCGACCGCCACGCCCCGCACCCCTCCAGGGGTGCGTCCTGGCCCCGATCTGGAGGCGAATCCCGCCGTGGCGACCCCCGCTCCCGCGCGCGCGCGGGGGCGCGCAGTGCGCCCGCGACGCGCGCGGCAACCGGGGCGCCTGGCGAGAATTTCGGGGCGGACCCACTGCATCCGCCTCGGAATTCTCGCCGGACCCAGTGGGTACAGGCAGGATCCGATCCAGCGGCCTGCAGATCCTGGCCTCCGCTGAGGAGCGGCCGCGCAGGGGCAGTCCTGGCTCGCCGCGCACGGCATCGCTGGCAACCTCGCGGGCGGCCCCGCGGCCGCGTCCGCGGAGGCGCAGTCGCTGCTGGGCGCCGCGGGCGCCTCGCCGCAGGGAGTGGCCGCGGAGGCGCAGTCGCTGCTGGGCGCCGCGGCCGCCTCGCCGCTGGCCTCGCAGGCGAAGGCCTGGGCGCACCGCCCGGGCTTCCTCGGCGGCGCTGGGCCCGCGGGGCACTGACGCGGACACCGCGCGACCGGCCGCGCCGTGCCTCCCGCGCGTCGGCGCCCTGCGGCGGCGGTGGCCGCGCTCCTGGCGCCGAGGAGGAGGAGGAGGAGGAGGAAGAGAGGGAGGAGGAGGAGGAGGAGGAGGAGAAGGAGGAGGAGGAAGAGAGAGGAGGAGGAGGAGGAGGAGGAGGAGGAGGAGGAGGAGGAGGAGGAGGAGGAGGAGGAGGAGGAGGAGGAGGAGAAGGACGCCAATATTGCCAAAACGAAATTCTTGGGACTCTAGCGTCGTAAATCAACGTGACTGTCACGTCCAGACAATCCTAAGGCGTGCCAGAGCACCACTCCTGGGATTGACACGCCGCGAAGCAACAGTATTATTTTGACAATCGGCCATTCTTGGGACTTCGACCATGGGAACCTGTCGTGAACTTTCCAAATGAATGTGCGCAGCGCGAAGACGAGAGCCACACTTTGAAAAAGAACCGCCCTTCATCCATGGAACTGCTGCGATGTTTTAAGACGAGTGTGCGCTGCACTGGGGCCAGAGCAACATTTTGAAAACCACCAGCCCTTCATCCTTGAAACTGTTGCAACGTCTCGAAGCGAATGTGCGCGGCGCTAAGGCGAAAGCAACACTTACGAATCGGTCCGTACTCTGTCTGCGAAGCTGTATCACATGTCTAACACGAACTTGTGCGGCGTTTTATTCTTTCGAGAGCCACATTTGAAAATCAAACCGTAAGTGCTGCACGCGTATTTAACAAACTAGTTGTGCGACCCTAAGACGACACCCGCATGTTGAAAACCACCCGCCCTCATTCCGCTAAAGTGCTGCAAGGTTGGAATTTCAGGGCCAGGCGTGGTGAGGGAGTCACGGGCGGAAAGCCCGAGCTGCCTTGCCGACACGCCTGGGTGTGCGACAGGGGGGAGTTATTGCTAAGGAGACGGGATGGAGGAGGAGGCGGAGGAGAATCACAAGGGAGGACACGGGAAGGCGCAGGAGGAGAAGGAGCATGTAGAATAGAAGGAAGAGGAGAGGAGGAGGAGGAGGAGGAGGAGGAGGAGCAGCAGCAACAGCAGGAGTAGGAGGAGGTCATGGAGAAGGAGGAGGAGGAGGAGAATGAGGAGGAGGAAGAGGAGGCGGAGTAAGAGAACCAGCAACAGCAAGAGGCGAATGAGTTGCAAGATGGGGAAGGCGGAGAGGGGGATGATGATGAGGAGGAGAAGGGGAAGGAGGAGGAGGAGTCGGAGGAGGGAGAAGCTTCGAGAGGTCCTGTGTGTTGTTATCTCTCGAGTTCAGGGAGCGGCCTGGGATCTTTACCGCGAGCGCGGCCGAAAGTCTGGCGCGTGCCTCGACGGTGTCACATTACCCAGCTCTGCAGATGTCGTTAACGCATAGGCGGGCAAGGCCAGATGCTAGACAATGCCTCCGAGCGATGGAAAAAAACCGCATCACAGCATCGGCATCCACACGAGCTTCCATCGTCATTCGCGTCTGGGGGATTTGCAGCGTCGATGACGATTTGAGGAATGGCTCAATTTGGCTGAGGGTAGAGAGAGAGCAATAATGAAACGGGGGCTGGAGGGCACAAGAGGTAGCCAGCCTTGCGTGGTCGTTGTCAAGGCGTCGTGTGCGACTGCCCAGACCGATGCTTGATGCACTGGCGGGCCGCTTCCATGACGAGGCTTGCCGCCTCAGACTTGGAGGTGGGTCTGATGCGCTCGCTCAAAACGCAGGATGTGTACAACCTGGCTTGGGCATCCGCCAGGCTCCGCGAGCTCCACCATCTTGCCACGGTTGCGGCTATCGGCCGAAGCTCCTATCAGCATCTGGCGGCCGCAGCTTGGGCGTTGCTTCTCGCGTCAGCCAAGCACCTCTGTTGGGGAGAGCACTCGCGGTCGCTGGTGAAAAGGGGGTGTCGGAGCATGGCGCGAAGCCCGAAGTGGTTCACGCTTGGATTTGAAAAAAGAGGTGCAGCTTACGGGAAGGGTCTCTGGAAACCCTTTTCCGAAAGCCGGAGGTTGCCCAAAGGTCGCCTGAAGTTCTGGGAGGCTTCCGGAAGTCCCTGGGGAGCCCCGCGATGTCTTCCAGGGGCCGGGCGAGGGGCAAAACATGCCTCGAAGTTTTGATCTTCTAGGTCGCCGTGGGGGCGCGAAGGTATCCACGGCCGAGGCTGCCTCCGCGGCGCAAGGGCGCGATGATAACCACGCGTCGCGAATCACGGTGCGCGATGCGCCTCCATGTTGCCGAAAGATAACGATCATCACGTCCGCCTCTCTCGCCCATGCTCCGAGGAGGGCGACGAAGGGGGGAGGAGGAGGCGGAGGCGGAGGGGGAGGGGGAGGAAGGTAAGGGACAAAGGTGAGGTGGACGGGTGAGGAGAAGGCGCAGGAGGAGGCGGAGGACGAGGAGGAGGGGGCGGCGGCGGAGGCGGCGGAGGCGGCGGAGGTGGCGGAGGAGTTGGAGCTGGAGGGCCTCCCCTCGCGCGGCTCCGCCGACCCACCCACCCCTTCGCGGCAGGGCGTGCCGAGCATCCGGCTGGTGCAGATGCGCTGCCGCCTGGCGGGGGCCTCGGCGCGCCGCCTCTGCGGGAGGGGGTCTCTGCCGCGGGCGCGCCCAGGGGCGCCCTCCGCTTGCCGTCCGAGGCTGGGGAGGAGGCGGAGGAGGAGGAGGCTGATACCGCCGGCGTCTGGCCCCCATGGTTTGCCGAAGGGAGAGGGGGAGGGGGAGGAGGAGGAGGAGGAGGAGGAGGAGGAGGAGGAGGAGGAGGAGGAGGAGGAGGAGGAGGAGGAGCAGGAGGAGGAGGAGGAGGAGGATGAGGAGGAGAGGAGGAGGAGGAGGAGGAGAGGGGAGGAGGAGGAGGAGAGGGAGGATGAGGGAGGAGGAGGAGGAGGAGGAGGAGGAGGAGGAGGAAAATGGAGGAGGAGGAGGAGGAGCAGGAGGAGGAGGACGACGATGAGGAGGAGGAACAGGCGGGGAGGATGTGTGCGACGAGGTGGGGGACGAAGAGGCGGACGAGGATGATGATGGAGATGAGGAGGGCGGGGGGCGGAACGAATATTGATGAGGATGGGGTGGACGAGGTGGGGGAAGACGATGACGAGACGGACTAAGACGGCAAAGGGGGGGGGTAAGGTGGACAAGGAGAAGGGCAGTAGGACGATATGAGGTGGAGGACGAGTGCGGCCGAACAGGAAGAGTGGGAGGGAGTAGTGATGAGAGGGATGAGGTGGTGGAGGGGGATATCGATGAAGGAGGGGAGGCGATGGCACCGTCGACGACGACGACGAAGACGACAACGAAGACGGGGACAATAAAGCGGCAAGAGGGCAGGGAGGGAGGGAGCAGGGAGGAGGGAGCTGGAGAAGGGGGAAGGAAGGATGGAGAGGGAATGGAGCGGAGGGAGGGAGGTCGAGTGGTGCAAGGATGGGTGCAGCGAGCGAGCGAGAGTGGCCTGCAGGGACTAGGAGGCGGCTGCAATAAGAGAAGAAGGAGTAGTAGGTCGAGTCACAGGCGGGGATGGACACAATGGCGGGAAGAAGGAGGACGGGAATTCGGAGGAAGGAGACGCAGTTGCGGTGGGGGGGTGCACCATGGGGTGATGGGGACAGGGGTAGGATAAAGGGGGATCAATTGGGCAGAGAGACGGCTTGGGATGCACGAGTTCAGGAGCCGTGTGTCGAATCTCGGGATCAGGATTCGGGATAGGGCTGGGGGTATGGACAGGACGAGATGGAGAGGGATAGGTGGATGCTGGGGGGGGGGGGGGGGGGGCCGAGGAGGGGCAGCCGACCTCGGGGGCCCCGCTCTCGGGGGCCACGACGGGCCACCGCCTCCGGGGGCCACGATTCCAGCCCCGGGCGGGGCGTCAGAGCGCCGAGCTGCGCGTGGGGGGGACACCAAGTCAGAGGACGCGTGGGGGGGGAGAGGAGCCACGAGCAGCGAGGCGCGAGGATCGAGTAGAGGAGAAACATGCTGGGCAGGAGGAAGACGAGGGAGAGGACTCAACCCGGGAGTGAGGACAGACGGGGAATGCACGCCAGAAGGGGGAGGAGGAGAGGAATCGGGAGAGAGGGTGGAAGGGAAAGAAGGAGGGGATGAGGGGAGGGAGGAAGGGAGCGAAGGACGGAGAGGAGAAGGAGTGAGAGGCAGGAGGAGGAGGAGTCGGAGGAGGAGGAGGAGGAGGAGGAACAGATACAGAAGCAAACTGACGATGAGACGCATACTCATATGTAGTGTAATGAGGAGGCAGGGCGAGCTATGCATACAAGGGGAAAGAGATGGCCCATCTGAACAGGAGGAGGAGCTTGACGAGAGGAGAAATGACCAGAACGAGGACACTGCGGAGGAGGAGCGAGAGGCGATGGATCCTTTGGGAGAGCGAGGATCACCATGGAGATGAGGTGGACAACCCCGAGGAATCAGATAATCGAAGAGGGCGGGAAGGCGGAGGAAGAGGAGGTGGATAAGGAGGAGGAGGAGGAGGAGGTGGAGGCCTGACTTGAGGAGGATGCGACTGGATGATGCCGATGAAGAGCGGGAGGCACCTACTCTTCCCTGCTCAGGTTCCTCTTCCTCCTCCCCTTCTCTGCCTCCGCTTCCTCCCCCCTCCGCCCCATTCTGCTTGTTTGTCCTTCTTGCCCTGGTCCTCATCATCGTCATCACCACCATCGTCATCCACCATGTCCTTACCCAATTGCCTCCCGACTTCCTCGCCTGGTCCGCCAACGGTAGACTGCGGCGCGCCCATAGTCGCGCTCTCACGTCTCGTGCTATGTGTTCTGCAATGCTCGCGCACAATCTGATGCTTATAGCACGTCCGAATCTTTCAGGGGCACGCCAAGGTAGGGGCCACGCATGCAGAATCACGCTCTGGAAAGCTCGAGCAATAATCATCTCTAACTGGACGCCTCATGCTCGAGGCATCTCCATCGGAGAGCCTGGTGCGTGAAAGGGGGGTCGTCATCATCACACTCATCATCATTTTCATCATCATCACCAATACCAAACTCATCCTCATCATAACCCCCGTGCACAAAACCATCGTGATTATCATCTGCATCATCATAATCGTCGTCATCATCATCATTACCAGCAGCATCATCAGTATCATTACGAATCGCATCATCATCATCATCATCATCATCATCATCATCATCATCATCATCATCATCACCATCACCATCACCATCACCATCATCACTATCAGCATCATCAACATCATCAGCGCCATCATCATCATCATCATCATCATCATCATCATAACCATCATCATCATCATCATCATCATCATCATCATCATCATCATCATCATCATCATCATCATTATCATCAGCACCATCGCATCATCAGCTTCATCGCCATCCTTATCCTCATCATCAGCATCAGCAGGATCAGCAGCATCACCAGCATCATCGTCATCATAGCCGCTGTCAAGATCATATCCTGCTCCATCGTCATCATCATCACTCATCAGCACCATCCGCATCATCAGCTTCATCACCATCCTTTCCCTCATCAGCAGCATCAGCAGGAGCAGCAGCATCGCCAACATCATCGTGATCATAGTCGCTGTCAACATCATAGTATGCTCCATCGTCATCATCATCAACACCATCATCATCGCCATCATCATCATCATCATCATCATCACCACCACCATAACCATCACCATCACCATCATCATCATCAGCAGCAGCATCAGCATCAGCATCAGCATCAGCATCATCATCCTCATCATCATCACCATCATCATCATCAGCATCATCAGCATCATCAGTATCATCGTCGTCGTCAGCATCATCATCATCATCATCATCATCATCATCATCATCATCATCATCATCATCATCATCATTATCGTCATCATCATCCTCGTCATCTTCATCGTCATGATCTCCATGATCAACGTACTCAGCAACATCGTGATCATCTATCCATCCCCTCCCCTGCGCTCCCTCTCCCTCCTCGCCGCTGCGCGCGTGTGGCCCCGTGATCACCTCGCTCAGGTGCCACGGCCAGATCCTGCCCCTCCCCTCGCGCCCTCGTGCCGTGCCGCGCCTGCCCCTCCCCTTGGCGCCTGCGCTGGCTGCCGGCGCGCCTCCGTCTCTCTTCCGCCTCTTCCACCTCTTCCTGCCTCCTCCCCGTCTCGAGCAGCGGCGCTGCCGTTTTTCTTTTCCCCCCCCCCCCCGACTGCAGGAGCGGACTGGGCTGGACTGGATTGCCTCTCCTGCTGCCTCCATCCCTCCCCTCCCGCCCCTCCTCCTTCCCCTCCCTGCTGCGCCTGCCGCCAAGACGCTGAAGTCAGGAGCAGCTTGCGATCACGAGGGGCTCAACGCTCCTGGGATCCTCCCGTGGTGGTTCCTCCAGCCCTCCTCGCGCACCCGGG